AACTTACAAATGATAAAATAAACACCAACTTATTTTTTATTTATTGTTTTTATTTTTGTTTTGTGGAGAAATACCCAGGGTGCGTTTGGTACATTCACTTTTATGGATGCTTATTACCGCATGCCAAGCACGAGGTCTGCACTGTCCAGAAAGACATGCCTATAAAAGCACATTGTGGTTATTTAAATTTAAATTATTAAATAAAAGTAAAAACTCAGTTCTTCACCTGCACTGGCCGCATTTCCTGGGCTCAGTAGCCATTACTCAGTTGCACCGTACTGGATGGTTCAAATCATTAAATATTCCCACCGTCATGGGAGGTTCTAGTGGGCAGGACCACACTGCCATCCTTCTGTTGCGCTTGAAAGTGGACACTGTAAGACAGTGGCAGCATTAACCTTGGAATTCTCTCCATTTCTGCTGTAGGTACCAGACTTAGCTTTAGTCTCAGACCCAGCTTGCTATCTTTTCTGACCTCCAGATCTATTTTTTTTAATTTTTGGGGGGGATTAGATTTATTTATGTATTTTTTAATAGGAGGCACTGGGGATTGAACCTAGGACCTTGTGTATGCTAAGCACATGCTCTGCCACTGGAGCTATATCCTCCCAGACTCCAGATCTTTTTTTGACTGTGTTTTGAGGGGTCTGGGACTCTTTCGTGCTAGCACAGCACTGTTACTCTTTAACCACCAATCTCATATGTGGCCTCTCCCTGTATTCTCTCTCCCAGGTGATCCGCCAGCTAATGAAGAAGGAATTCACCCTGGAGTTCTCCCGGGACAGAAAGTCTATGTCTGTCTATTGCTCTCCAGCCAAATCCCGGGCTGCCGTGGGCAACAAGATGTTTGTCAAGGTCCGAAATCAGAGTGTGCCTCAGCTCCATTCTTCTTCCTAATTCTGCACCCCTCTCCTGTCCCTGCCCCCTCTCACTGTGCACTGAAAGGAAGAGTGGTTTCTGAAGACTGTTCTGTTCTCCCAGGGTGCCCCTGAGGGGGTCATCGACCGCTGTAACTATGTGCGAGTTGGCACCACTCGGGTGCCAATGACAGGGCCGGTGAAGGAGAAGATTCTGTCAGTGATCAAGGAGTGGGGCACTGGCCGGGACACCTTGCGCTGCCTGGCCCTGGCCACCCGGGACACCCCCCCAAAGCGAGAGGATATGGTCCTGGATGACTCTTCCAGGTTCATGGAGTACGAGGTGAGCAGACAGAAGTCTCTCATTGCCCCAGAGTCACTTGCCTTACCCCGTCCACCAACCTTAGGAACCATCTAGTGCAGTGCTACGTTGCGTGTGATCCGTGGGCCTGTCCAAGAAGAGGTGAGGCACTTGCCCCAGAACAGAAATCAGCTGGATCACTAAGCACACCTGGGTTCAGCTGACATGTTTCCATTTTCTTAAGACGTGTGTCATCCTGCATTCTGGTACAAGCTCTTTATCTCATAGTGGACTTGCTCTCTGAATAGCATGAAAGTCCACTCCCTTCATTTTATAGAGGGAACACTGTGGCCTGGCAGGTAACCTGGATTTGCTCAAAGTTGTAGACCAAACTGGTGGTCCTGCTGAAGGCAGAAACCACCTCCCTCACTTCCAGCTGGAGTTCTTTCTATGACACGATCTGCCATCTATGATGGGTCTGGTACCACCAGGCCTGCAGGTACATATGTGGACAAGGAAAGTTTGCTGCCTCTGAGCTTATGAGGCCCTGCTGAGGTTTGAACACCAGGCCCAGGGACTGCTCTCCCCCAAGGTCCCTTCCTGACCCTATTGCTCTCCGCTGTCTCCCCAGATGGACATGACATTCGTTGGCGTAGTGGGCATGCTGGACCCGCCCCGCAAGGAGGTCACGGGCTCTATCCAGCTGTGCCGTGATGCTGGCATCCGGGTGATCATGATCACTGGGGACAACAAGGGCACAGCCATTGCCATCTGCCGACGAATTGGCATCTTTGGGGAGAATGAGGAGGTGGCCGACCGAGCCTACACTGGCCGGGAGTTCGATGACCTGCCCCTGGCCGAGCAGCGGGAGGCCTGCCATCGCGCCTGCTGCTTCGCCCGTGTGGAACCCTCCCACAAGTCAAAGATCGTGGAGTATCTGCAGTCCTTCGATGAGATCACAGCAATGGTGAGAAGACCAGCAGGGCTGCCCAGGCCAGGGCACACATGGGTCTGGTGTGGGGCGGTCTGCTTGTGTCCACTGAGATGACCGTCTTGGGGAGCTGGGGCCCAGGGAGGGCCCTGGGGAGACGCACAGAGGGGAGGGATTCGGGCCCCGAAGGAAGAGTCTCAAGGAGGGTATGTGAAGGGGCTGGGTCTTACCTCCTCTCTCCCTGCAGACAGGTGATGGTGTCAATGATGCCCCTGCCCTGAAGAAGGCTGAGATTGGCATTGCCATGGGATCTGGCACTGCTGTGGCCAAGACGGCCTCAGAGATGGTGCTGGCCGATGACAACTTCTCCACCATCGTGGCTGCCGTGGAGGAGGGCCGCGCCATCTACAACAACATGAAGCAGTTTATTCGCTACCTCATCTCCTCCAACGTGGGCGAGGTGGTCTGGTGAGCCGCTGGGCCGACATCCAGGAGGAGGGGGTTGGATGAGGTGGGTGACAGGTCTGGGAGGCAGGACAGACACATGACCACTCCTTCTGGCAGCATCTTCCTGACAGCCGCCCTGGGGCTGCCTGAGGCCCTGATCCCTGTGCAGCTGCTGTGGGTGAACTTGGTGACGGACGGCCTCCCGGCCACAGCCCTGGGCTTCAACCCCCCAGACCTGGACATCATGGACCGGCCGCCCCGGAGTCCCAAGGAGCCCCTCATCAGTGGCTGGCTCTTCTTCCGCTACATGGCAATTGGGGGTGAGCAGGAGGGAAAGCTACACTCCCTCCCAATTGTAGGGACTGACCCCCTTTCTGGGAACCGGTTTCCCCACGGCAGCCACCCCAGTGGGCCCTCTTCCTCAAACAGCCATTCATGGCCACGTGGCCATCTCAACTCCTCCGATCCCCCCATTCCTGGCCCCTCAACTCCCATCTTTTCTCTACCATAGGCTATGTGGGTGCAGCCACCGTGGGAGCAGCGGCCTGGTGGTTCCTGTATGCTGATGATGGACCTCATGTCACCTACAGCCAGCTGGTAGGGCTGGACGGAGAGGCGAGGTGCATAGCAGGAGGGTGGCGTGGAGGCATCTGTGGGAACCCAGCTCCTCCCCTCTCCCCCTGCAGACTCACTTTATGAAGTGTGGGGAGGACAACCCCGACTTTGAGGGTGTGGATTGTGAAGTCTTTGAGGCCCCCCAGCCCATGACCATGGCCTTGTCTGTGCTGGTTACCATCGAGATGTGCAATGCTCTCAACAGGTGGGGGCCAGCACCCTCCCCTGCACCCCTGTCCTCTGCCCCTCCTCTCCTCTGCCCCTCCTCTCCTCTGCCCCTCCTCTCCCTGCTCACCACTGCTCTCTCCTTGGGTCTCTACCCCTGGGCCTCCCTGCGCAGCCTGTCTGAGAACCAGTCCCTCGTGCGGATGCCGCCCTGGGTGAACATCTGGCTGGTGGGCTCCATTGGCCTCTCCATGTCCCTCCACTTCCTCATCCTCTACGTGGACCCCCTGCCGGTGAGCCTTCCAGCCAGGGGCCACCTGTCCTCCACCCACAAGGCTCCTCCACAGGGGCAGTGACCACCACCACTGAGGGAGGAGGGCGGGGTCAGGCTGGCATAGTGCTGGGTCCTCTGGCCTCTCCTCACCACCCACTTCCCACCTCCTCCCAGATGATCTTCAAGCTCCAGGCCCTGGACCTGCCCCACTGGCTCATGGTCTTCAAGATCTCATTACCAGTCATCGGGCTTGACGAAATCCTCAAGTTCGTTGCTCGGAACTACCTGGAGGGTAAGAGGCCACCCCCCCACCCCACCAGAGCCCTGTCAGCCCCTGAGCCCTGAGCACAGTCCCCTCCCTCTGCGCAGCGAAGGCGCCCGCCCCGCTTCCTTTTCAGGTGGGTGAGTTCTCTGCCCAGCAGAACCAGCCCCTTCCCTCCTTTCTGGTCTCCTCAGTGCCCCCACAACCTCCTCAGCCCTCTTGGCACTCCGCACTCGCCTCCCTCCCTCGGTAACGGCTGTCTCTCTGTCCTCTCTGGCCATAGGATAA